GGAGAGAAAAAAAAAAAAAAAAAAGAAAAAAATTTTATAATTCCGATGATTCTAAATTGAGGCTTATTTTGGTCTATCTTTATTATTTACGGAGATACGGTTGTTCTAAGTGTTAGCCATTTTCAAAAACCAAAATCTTAGATTTTGAGCGTTATCACGGGTTAGGGTCCATTTGCTATGATGTGCTAGACCGCCTGGACTTCTAGTTACTACAATTTCATAATTTTTTGTGCAGTTTTGAAGGCCTGATGTCAAAAAAGCAATTTTATTATTTTTAAGTAGTTTTAACAACCAAATTGACAAAAAAAAAAAAAAAAATTTTAATTTCGATGACCCCAAATTAAGGCTTATATTGCTCTATCTCCATTATTTACAGAGATACGGCCGTTTTGAGTTTTGGCCATTTTTAAAAACGAAAATCTCAGATTTTGAGCGTTTTCACGGGTCAGTCTATACTGCTATGATCTTCTAGACTGCCTAGACTTTTAAAGACTCCAATTTAATNAAAGAAACAAAAAAAAAAAAAAAAAAAATTCTTTTCAATTCCGATGATAACAAATCAAGATATTTTCGCTTCATTTTTATTATTTACGGAAATTAAGAAAAATTTTCAGTGCTCTATAACATATTTAAAATAAGCCATACGACTGGATAACCTACGTAAGCACCCTTACGGATACCTACGAGCAACTCCATGACCAAAAATTATTCAAGACCTCAAATTTTAAGCTTTAAACAAAGCCAAAACTTAAAATGCCTGCATCTTCGTAAATAATGAAGATACAGTGAAATAAGCCTTTATTTGGAATCACAAAAATTAAAAAAAAAAATTTTTTTATTTACTTGTTTTGAGAGCTCTAGTACATATTGAAAATTAATTATACGACTAGATAACCTACGTAGACACCCTTACGCATAGCTACAAGCAACTTCAAGACTATTGAATTTTTTTAAACCTCAAATTTCTAGCTAAAAATAGAGCTAAAACTAAAAATGCTCGTATCTCCGTAAGTAATGAAGATACAGCGAAATTAGCTTCAATTCGGAATCACAAAATTTGAAAAAAAAATTTTTTTAATTTACTGGTGTTTAGTGCTCTATTACATATTGAAAATAAATTATATGACTAGATAATCAACGTAGACTTCCTTAGGGAGACCTACGAGCAATCTCAAGACCATCCAATTATTTTAAACTGAAAATTTTTAGGTTGAAAAAGAGCCAAAACTTAAAATGCCCGTATCTTTGTAATTAATGAAGATACCGCGAAATTAGCCCATATTCGGAGTCACAAAAATTTAAAAAAAAAATTTTTTCAAATGCTCGTGCTCGGCAATTCTACTCGTATTGAAAAAATAAATTATACGACTTGATAACCTACGTAGGCACCCTCACGGATACACCCTACGAGCAATCCCAAGTACATAAAATTAATAAAAACTCAAAATTTTTAGCTTAAATTAGAGCCAAAACTTAAAATGCCCGTATCTCCGTTAATAATGGAGATGCAGCGAAATAAGCCTTCATTTGGAATCATAAAAATTGAATAAAAAATTTTTTCAATTTATTTGGGTTTAGTGCTCTATTTTAACGTTTTTAAGTTGTTTGAGCTATACTTTAAAAAACAGTGTAATAGGAACGAGTGGAACGGAGTAACCCTCACTTTGATAATGAATCAATAACCCTTAGAACATGTGTTTATTCATTTGTTTCTGTTTTAGATATTGATAACTTTCAAATTTTACAACTCTTACTACTTACAGCTTCCGCTTGGGTTGAATATTGTTGACAAGTACCCTCGATGAAGTAAAAAAAAAAAAATGTGAAAGAGGATACACGATAGGTACAATGGTAAATAAATATTTGGGATAATATGATTCGAATCTATCAAGGGTTTAACTAGTTCAGTTCTTGTTGATGAAAGTGTTACGTAGATTTGCACGATTACTTGTTTATAACTTTCGTTGTTGTTGTTATTGTTGTTTACTCAACTTTCAGTTCATGAAAGAAATTGCAGTTCAGTTCAGTTTATTGGATCAGTTTCTTGATTTAAAAACGATACTTAACATTCGATATAATTTTATTGTCTTGATAGTTTTCATATGCATATAAATTTGTAGCATTATACATGTGAGAATTTTTTATCCAAAGATGGAAACAGTAAAGGTTTCATACTCTCAGTACAATAGAAATCCATCGTCAGATTAAGGTTTGCTTACATGCTAAAATGTAATAATGGTAATAATAAAACTACTAAAGTAAGAAAAAAAATAAAGAGAAGAAATTATTGTTAAACAAATGAAATGTCACGAGCAAATACGAATTTGTGTCTTTCTCTACACACGCTTGGTTGGAGCAATACTACGATTGGTGGGATTCAAAAGCGTAGAGAACTAATTAATTGACATGTTTTAATGTACGCAAAAATTTTTTTTTTTTTTTTTCTCTTTGTTTTTCAATAAAAACTAGTCATTCGGACACAAAATAGGCGTATTACAGACGATATATTTACTTGACCTTTGTTTGGTTCAAGTCGTCGGTCGCTCGATCAACAAACGCGCAATTTACTGTATATTTATAACAACGCATGGACGCATGTTTCACCAGCCTTATTTAAAGTCAACATTACCGTACAAATCCAATACAATTTATTGAGGATTACCATTTACGTGGAATGGTACGTGAGGATTGTAATGGATAAGTACTAGTCTCACTATTGATGTAACTGTGCCTCTCAAATAACAAGGAATGCAAAGCGACCCAATGTCAAAGTATTACATGGCAAAACTAGGAAAATTTCGTACGACATTTGGGCACTGTTTAATATGCAATAAAACAATTGCATGAAAAAATTACAAGGATGATGCCATCTTTGGTACTCGATGCTTTTGTTTGTTCAAAGAATCATCATGCGAGTATCAAAAAAAAAATTTTATGGAGCATGAGTATGTAAAATTTAGTTTACGAGTTGGATGAATATCATCATTACAAGCGTTCATTTCATTCATTGAATTACAATGCCACCTGGTCCTGGCAGGCAAGTTTGCTTCATTAGGGCCAAATCGACTTCTCGTGCAGCTTGTCGTCCCTCTGAAATAGCCCATACCACTAGGGATTGACCTCTCCGACAATCTAACAGACAAAAAGTAACATTAGTTGGAAAAATCAATTTTTTTTTTCCTATTTCATATATTTTAATACTAATTAATCAACTCTTCAAGATAATATTTACCTCCAGCAGCAAAAACTCCTGGCACACTTGTTGCATATTTACCAGTAGGTGTCAAATAATTTCCACGACTATCCATTTCAGTGGATAATTCTTGAGCAATGTATTTTTCAGGACCCAAAAAACCCATGGCAAGTAATACTAAGTCACACTTGTAAACCTGTGTTTAAGAGGTATATAATAAATTTCATTTCAGAAAAAATTTGAAAATTTTGTCATTTAATTTCTTCATTTCACCTTTTCGGAATTGGGAACTTGATCCATTTTCCACCCACCAACATCATCTTTCGTCCACTCAACATTTACGGTTTTGATGCCACTTATGTGACCGTTGCCATCATCCAAAAATTCCTTGCTTAAAGTACTAAATTTGCGTGGATCTTGGCCAAATCTGTGGACAACTTCTTCGTGTCCATAATCCAATTTAAATATCCTAGGAAATTGTGGCCAAGGATTGTCTTGTCCTCTTTTTTTGGGCGGTTCTGGTAAAATTTCAAATGTCACGATCGATTTGGCTCCCTACAGTAAAAAAAAAAAAAAAAAAAAAAAAAATCAGCTTTATCAAGTAATGAACATGAGCCATTTTTATGAATCGCATCATTGAGTCGAAATACCTGTCGCAGAGATGTTGCGATGCAATCACAGCCAGTGTCTCCGCCGCCAATGATTATAACGTCTTTGTCTTTGGCCATCAATTCGAGATTTAGCGGGGTATTGTTATCCATTTGCTTTTTCTGCCAATGCTCGAGAAATGTGACGGCAAAATGAATGCCTTTTAACTGCCTTCCGGTAATGGACAGATCCCTCGGCCAAGTTGCTCCGGTGCAAATAACAACGGCATCGTTCTGTTGTTTCAATTCCTATATTGAAAAAGAGCAGGAAAAACAAAAATTATGTGTTTATACTCGATTCAACGAGTCAATACACTACTTACGGATACGGAGATTGACTTTCCAACGTTGACGCCAGTTTTGAAGATAATGCCTTCCTCGGCCAGTAAATTAACTCGCCTCTGCACAACTTGCTTTGAAAGCTTCATCGTAGGAATCCCATACTGCAGCAGCCCACCAACTCGGTCGTTTCTTTCGTACACAGTGACAAAGTGTCCGGCCTTGTTTAATTGATGAGCCGCGGCAAGACCCGCTGGGCCAGATCCGATGACGGCAACCTTTTTGCCAGTTCTTTGCGTCGGAAGATGCGGTTCTATCCAGCCTTGCTCAAAGGCATGATCGATTATGGCGCATTCGATATTCTTGATTGTAACGGCTGGCTCGGAAATCCCGAGGACGCAAGCACCCTCGCAGGGTGCAGGACACACTCTTCCCGTGAATTCGGGGAAATTGTTTGTCTGAACAAGTTGGTTGAGAGCTTCTTTCCAATTGTCTTGAAAAACAAGATCGTTCCACTTTGGAATAATATTACCGAGAGGACAGCCGTGGCTACTCTGGCAAAACGGAACTCCGCAATCCATACAACGCGCGGCTTGAACTTTCAGGCCCTTCCTCACGCCACCGAAATTGTAAATTTCGTCCCAATCCGTCATACGTTTGTCAACCGACCTGTAATGTCCACCCTGTCTTTTGTACTTGATGAAGCCTTTGACTTTATCCAGCTTCTTTTGGGCTACCTCGGTATCGGCCACGACATCTTCAATGTCGAGCACAGCTTCGGTTTTACCATTGCCGTTTGAAATAATGGCGACATTCGTAGGCTTTTCTTCTTCCTCCTTTTCCTCCATCTGCTTCAAAGCACGTTGATACTCGTACGGAAATACCTTAAAAATGCGATTGGTTGGCTCTGGCCAGATCTGCAGCATTTCTTGGGCAATCAACGATCCGGTCTTTTCGACGAATTCCTCGAGCAATTGTTGCACATGGTCGATATCTTTTTTCCCGTTGAGCGGCAAAAGCTCCACCATCTCTGGATTACATTTGCTCTTGAATGACCCATCGACGTCGAAAACGTACGCGATGCCGCCCGACATACCAGCAGCAAAATTTCTTCCAGTCAAGCCGAGAATGAGAGCAACTCCGCCAGTCATGTACTCGCAGCCGTGATCGCCGACACCCTCGACAACGACTACAGCGCCGCTGTTACGCACGCTGAATCTCTCGGCGGCAATACCACGAAAATAAGCACGGCCGGAAGTCGCACCGTACAGACAAACGTTGCCCACAATCACGTTGGCCTCCGAGTTGAATTCAGACTCTTTAGGAGGATAAATGACAATCTCACCACCACAAAGACCTTTGCCAACGTAATCGTTGGCATCCCCTTCTAATTCCATAGTAACGCCCTTTGTCAGAAAAGCACCAAAACTCTGGCCTGCAGAGCCCTTTAATTTTATGTTAATACTGTTATCGGTCAGTCCCTTTTCACCATATTTCCTGTAAACGAACAAGAAAAGTATACAATTATGTAGTAAACAAACAAAAAAATGTACATACTTTGAAATGTGGTAGCTCAGAGTGCTTCCAAATGCTCGGGTTTCATTGTTGATGGTCATCTCGATGGTCACGCTATTTTGTTGGCCATTCAAAACTGGCATTGCTCTATCGATGAGTTGATTATCGGATCTCTGCTCGAGTTGAAAGTCTTGTTTGACGCTTCCACCCTTGATATTGACGCCAGGTCTCAATTCTAGAGCGTTGCGCAGGACCATTGATAAATCCAACGTTTTGGCTTTGACACTTGAAATGTCGTCACGAATTTTAAGCAAGTCGGTACGACCAATTAGATCTTGAAATTTGGTTATTCCCAAAGAAGCCATAATTCTGCGGGCCTAATTATAGGAGACAAAAAAAAATACGTCATGTATCACTTGCTAAATATTTGAAATACTTCAAGGCAACTCACATCTTCGGCAAGAGCAAAGAAAAAATTGATAACGTGCTCGGGTGAGCCAGCAAATTTTTTTCTCAAAAGAGGATCTTGTGTAGCAATTCCAACGGGACATGTGTTCAAGTGGCATTTCCTCATCATGGTACAACCCATAGCGATGAGAGGAGCAGTACTGAGGCCAAACTCATCGGCACCCATTAAAGCAGCAACTACAATGTCGAAGCCCGTTCGCATTTGACCGTCAGCTTGGACAATCATGCGCGAGCGAAGGTTATTGAGAGTTAGGATTTGATGTGTCTCGGCTACACCCAATTCCCACGGCAATCCAGCAGACTTTATTCCCGTCCAGCTACTCGCTCCGGTGCCACCATCGTGTCCGGATATAACAACATGCTCGGCTTTGCCCTAGAATTATCATCATCGTGATTAATGGACATGTTTTATTGGAAACTTAAAAAAACTTCAATACATACTTTGGCCACACCGGATGCGACAACACCGACACCAACTTCGGACACGAGCTTGACCGATATTCTCGCCTTTGGATTGGCACATTTCAAATCATAAATCAGTTCAGCTAAATCCTCGATGGAATAAATGTCGTGGTGAGGTGGCGGAGAAATGAGACCTACTCCTGGTACAGAGTGTCTCGTAGCAGCGATATCAGCTGTTACCTATACTTGTCGATAAACGAGTTATATAAAACGGATCAAGGACAATGATACTTTACAAAACAAATAATTAAGTCACCTTGTAACCTGGCAATTCGCCACCTTCGCCAGGCTTTGCTCCTTGAGCCATTTTTATTTGCAAATCGTCGGCATTGGCCAAATAACACGAAGTAACGCCAAAGCGACCGCTGGCAACCTGTTTGATGGCCGATCGTTTGTTAAACTGCGGATCTTGATTCAAGTATCTGTCTGCGTTTTCGCCACCCTCACCAGTATTTGATTTACCACCGATTCTATTCATAGCAATGGCAAGGGTAGAGTGAGCCTCCAGTGAAATACTACCAAAACTCATGGCTCCCGTAGCAAAGCGCTTGACAATTTCCGAGGCTGGCTCTACGAGTGAAATGTCAACTGCAGTCTTGTTTTTCACGAATTCGAGTTGACCGCGAAGAGTGCAGGCTTGGACAACTTCCATCGATGTTTGTCGATAATTTTCGTACGCACTCCAATTCTTGGAATTGACGTATTCCTATGGATGAAATAAAATGATTCATCGTCTGTAAAACATTACACATGTAAAATTTTGAGTACTGAAAATTACTTGGAGACTGGCGATACTGCGAGGATCGTTGATGTGCTTTTCGCCACCGGCTCTCCAATGATAAATTCCTGGATTGTTGATGACGACCGTGTCAAAGCTATCATCCCAGTAGGTCATTCGATGACGCGAGAAACCTTCTCGCGCTAATATGTCAAAGTTTACTCCTCCGATTCGCGAGTAAGTGCCCTTGTGTAGAAAAACACGATGATACAAAACGCGTAAAGGAAAAATTTTTCGTATGGATTTTTACACACCTTGAAGCACTTTTCTACAACTTGATCAGCCAGACCCACAGCTTCAAATATTTGAGCACCTTTGTACGACTGCAATGTGGATATTCCCATTTTGGCCATTACTTTGGCAATGCCACGTTCCATTGCTTCCGCGTAGCACTAAAATTGTAGTAATTATCGAAATTTGTCGAGGTTGTACAAAAGAGCAATTCGTTAATTGGATTCTATTTATACATAAACTATTACTTTAAATATAACTTGATCAGTCATCGATTGGTCAAGAACAAAATCAGATCTAAGATCTTTAGCCATTTCAAACACCAAGTAGGGGCAGATGCCATCTGCTCCATATCCAAGTAGGACGCACATGTGATGGACTTCGCGGGCTTCACCGGTTTCCAGGATCAAACCAACCTTCATACGCTGCCTTTCTTCGATTAGGAAATGATGCACCGATCCAAGTGCCAAAACTATGCTTACGGGTACTCTAAAAATTCATTCGGTTCAATTATATATTTCACTCGTGATGCATATGATGAAATTCGATATTTCGATACCTCTCTGGTCCGGCCTGACGATCCGACAAAATTATGAGTTGATAGCCTGCTCTGGCAGCAGCATTGGCTTCATCGCAGACTCGATTCAAGGTCTTTAATAATCCCGCAGGTCCCTCTGATTTAGCATAAGTACAATCGATAACTTGACATTTCCAACCGCGGTAGCTTGTTTTTTTTAAGACCTCGAGGTCATACAAGGATAGAATTGGTTGTTCTAAAAATAAACGATGGACATACATTTCACTCGGTTCTAAAATATTACTTTCTGGACCGATCGGGCATAAAAGTGACATTACAATTTTTTCCCTGAATGGATCAATGGGTGGATTCGTTACCTATTTTGGGCGAGAAAAAAAAAATTTATTTTCACTTGATACGTCTAAATAAACAATATTATTCACGAAATACGCACTTGAGCAAAGAGCTGTTTAAAATATTCATAAATAAGTGGTTGGAATTCAGAGAGGCATGCCAAAGGTGCATCATTGCCCATAGAACCAAGAGCTTCTTTTCTGAAATAAAATTAAACTCGTGTAATATTCAGAGTTTCTTTTCATAAATATTCTTGGTAAGTAAAATGATTGATTATTACTTGGTCTGAATCATTGGCAAAAGTAACAGATTGATAGTCTCCAGGGTGTAACCAAATAAAGCGATTCTCTTGTCCCCACTCCATACGCGATTTACTGCAGAGATACCATCCTTGGATACTCCATTTTTCGGTACTAAAGCGTTACTGACGCCATTTTCTAAACTGCGTTCCGTTTCATTGTGAGCTTTGCGAAAATCGTCCATAGTCATCTAGATTTGATAAGCATTGTTATCAATAGTCAAAGACTCGTTTCCTTCATTTTTCATACAAATTTACGTTTTACAGTTTTCGTTTAATTTTTCAACAAATATACTACAACTACAACACAAAAATACCTTGATAACAGAAAATAAAGATGAAACACGAAAATCTAAATGATCTACGACAAGGGATAAAAAGATGTAGAGATGAAAAATAATGCAGTCACAAATAAGGAGGAAAAGTATAAAAACGCTATTTTTCCTGTTTGGTAGAAGGTTTTAGTTATTCAAGTGTAGAAAGAAAATACACACAGATAATACTTGGATGACACATGTCTAAACTCACCATCTTTCAAAAACACCAATCATAGTCAGCATACGGAGAAGTGCAAAAAAAAATGATTTTGAATTAACGATTTGTTCTTGTCTTGGTCATTCTCAACTCTAAATCTGCTAATTTAATATTTAATAATATCGATTTTTTTTTTTTTTTTTTTTTTTTTTATAATAAACAATAACAACAAATTTGAAATAATACTAGGACGTCTTTGCGTAATGATTATATATCAAGTATCAACACGAATGTGGAAATACAACAATATGATGAGCATAATTTTCATTATCGTGGAATATTTGGTCAAGTTACAAAATACCTGATTTTTCAGCCACTGCGAGTGAGGACGGCTTCGAGCAATTTTCAACTTGAGCTCGACATCTTGAATGATTTGTTTTTCTTCGGTGTCGACAAGCAGCATTCTGCCAGGCTTCAGGCGACTCTGAAAATAAAAGAAATAAAATTCTTGATCAACACTATTGCGTGGAATAATTACAACTGAATAGACATTCATATGACAGCACTGGATGACGGTCCTACGCCTCTATACAAACCTAGCCCTTGGATGATATAAAATATATTTATATATATAAATACATAC